TTTTGGGGCAGCATTAACAACATTGAAACCCCTGCTCTGAGGGTCTACCAGTGAAGTTGAGTCAAACAACTCCTGGAATCCAGACAGATATGCATACCAGAACAACAGTAAGGCAGGACTGTCAAACACTGCGGTATTCAGGAAATCAGCATAGACACATTGCACCTGCAAACTGTGCTAGCATCTGCACCCCATCATGGTCCTGCATCCCCCCCACACACATTCCAAGCATCTACACACTCTAGCACTCTCTTTTTCAAGATACACTTCCATGCACATGGGATTACTTGCTCCTCCGTAATTGTGATTCTGCGCTAGTGGCTCTTCCTCCCTTAGGTACAGCTGAAACACCAATACACACTCTCAAACCAGTGGATCTCTCTCATTTTCCTGAAGAATACTCCAGACACCAGAGAAAGATGGACCCTTTCTGAAGCACAGACTCCAGGAATAAACAGTGAAGGTTACACATAAGCAGATGGCCAGAGGTCGGTGTAAGAAAACACACAACAAAAATCAGGACAACATGGCTCCACCATCAACCCCCCAAAATGAATGGGTATTTCAATTCATTGGAATCACAGGAAGATTATTTAAACTTATGCTTATCCAGTTATCAGAGGCACATAAAGAGGAAACAAACAAATCTCTCAGAGAAATAGCCTCAAAATTGAGGCAAATAAGGAAGAAATGCTCTCAAGGAAATTCAGGCAAATACAGCCAAACAAATAAAGCCACAATCGGCATAAAGAGAGGAAACAAATAAAAAAGTAGAAGTCATCATTGAAAGAAAGGAATGAACATTCAAATACATGAAGAAAATGGTTCAAGGAATTAAAAGTGAATTAGAATCAATAAAGAAAACATAGAGAAAACCCTGGAGCTGGAGAACTTAAAGGAAAAAAAAAGGTAAGCATAACCAATAAAATAAAAGAGATGGAAGAGAGAATCTCAGGTGTTGGAGAAACTCTTGCTGAAATTGATACTTCTCTCAAAGAAAAAGTAAAATCAGAAAAGTCCCAAACACAAAACATCCAAGAAATTCAAGGTGATTTGAAAAGATGAAATCTAAGAATGATTGGATAAGATGAAAAAGAAGATTCCAGGCTAGAAGGTGCAGAAAAAATATTTTTTGATGTTACTATTTTTTTTAATTAGCTACATTTTATTAACACTGTATCCCGGCTGTATCCTGCTCCCTCATTCCCTCCCAACCCCACCCTCCCTCCCTTGTCTCCTCCCTGTCCCTTTCCAAGTCCACTGATTGGGGACTTTCATCTGACCCTGTTTTATCAGGTATCTTTAGGACTGGCTGCAAATTCCTCCTTTGTGGCCTAGCAGGACTGCTCCTCCCTTGGGAGGTGGGGACATCAAAAAGCCTGCAATTGAGTTCATATCAGAAATAGTCCCTGTTCTACTTACTATGGGAAAACAATTGGTTACTGAGCTACCACAAGCTACATCTGAGCACAGGTTCTAGGTTATATACATACATGGTTCTTGATTGGAGAAACAGTCTCATATAAGACCCCTGTGCCCAGATATATTTGGCTCTCTCCATGTCATGTTAACTCCCCCTTCTTTCATATGATTCCCTGTATTCTGCCAAAGGTTTGGTTATGATTCTTAGTATCTGCTTTGATACACTGCTAGGTAGAGTCTTTCAGAGGCCCTCTGCAGTAGGCTCCTGTCCTGTTACTTGTTTTCTCCTACATGCAATGCACATCCCATTTGTATTTTTTAGTGAGGATTTATCATCTTATCCTGGGTCCTCTTTCTTGTTCATCTTCTTTATGTGTATAGATTTCATTATGTTTATCATATCATATTGGTCTATATGAAGGAGTATATACCATGTGTGTCTTTCTCCTTCTGGGATACCTCACTCAGAATGATCTTTTCTAGATCCTACCATTTGCCTGAAAATTTCATGATTTCCTCGTTTTTGATTGCTGAGTAGTATTCCATTCTGTACAAATACCACAATTTCTGTATCCACTCCTCCGTTGAGGGACACTTGGGTTGTTTCCAGGTTCTGGCTTTTACAAATAAATCTGCTACAAACATGGTTGAGCACATGTCCTAGTTGTGTACTTGACCAAATTTTGGTTATATGCCTAGGAGTAGTATAACTGGGTCTTGAGGAAGCACTATTCCTAATTATCTGAGAAAGCGCCATATTGACTTCCAAAGTGATTGTCCCAGTTGACATTCCCACCAGCAATGGAGGAGGGCTCCCCTTTCACCACAACCTCTCCAGAATGTATTGTCATTTGAGTTTTTTATTTTAGCCATTTTGATAGGGGTAAGTTGAAATCTCAGGTTCGTTTTGATTTGCATCTCCCTGATGGCTAAGGATGTTGAGCATCTCTTTAAGTGTTTCTCTGCCATTCTATATTCCTCTACAGATAATTCTCTGTTTAGCTCCTTACTCCATTTTTTAATTAGATTACTTGATTTATTGCTTTTTAAATTCTTTATTTCTTTTTATATTCTGGATATCAGCCCTCTGTCAGATACAGGGTTGGTGAAGATCCTTTCTCATTCTGTAGCCTGTCATTTTGTTCTGACAACAGTGTCTTTTGTTTTACAGAAGCTTTTAAATTTTATGTGGTCCCACCTATTGATTGTTGCTCTTAGAGCCTATGCTGTTAGTGTTCTGTTCAGGAAGTTATCTCCTGTGCCAATGAGTTCTAGGTTCTTCCCCACTTTTTCTTCTAACCTATTTAGAGTAAATGTTTTCATGTAGAGGTCTTTGATCCACTTGGACTTTAGTTTTTGTGTAGGGTGTTAAATAGGGATCTATTTTCATTTTTCTGCATGTAGACATCCAGTTAGACCAGCACCATTTGTTGAAGATGCTGTCTTTTTTCCAATGAATGGTTTTGGTTTCTTTGTCAAAAATCAAGTATTCATAGGTGTGTGGGTTTCTTTCTGAGTCTTCTATTCTAATATACTTTTCCTCCTTTCTGTTCCTATGCCAATACCATGCAGTTTTTATTACTGTCGCTCTGTAGTACAGCTTGGGATGGAGATACCTCCAGATGATCTGTTGTACAGGATCGTTTTGGAGATTCTGTCTTTTTGTTTCTCCATATGAAGCTGAGAATCTTTCTTTCAAGGTGTGTAAAGAATTGAGTTGGTATTTTGATGGGAATAGCTTTGAATCTGTAGATTGTTTTTGACAGGATAGCCATTTTCACAATGTTAATCCTACCAATCCATGAGCACGGGAGATCTTTACATCTTCTGATATCTTCTTCAAATTTTTTCCTTAAAGTTTTTTTTTTTCAAACAGTTCTTTCACTTGCTTAGTTAGAGTAACCCAAGTTATTTTATGTTATTAGTGGCTATTGTGAAGGGGTTTGTTTCCCTGATTTCTTTCTCTGCCCTTTTGTCTTAGGTATACAGGAGGGCTTCTGACTTTTTTGACTTGATTTTCTATCCTGCCACTTTGCTGAAGGTGTTTATTAGATGAAGGAGTTCTCTGGTTGAATTTTTGAGGTCGTTAATGTATACTATCATATCCTCTGTGAATAGTGACACTTTGGCCTCTTTCTTTCCAATTTGTATACCCTTGATCTCCGTTAGTTGTCTTATTGCTGTAGCTATGACTTCAAGTACTATGTTGAATAGATATCGAGAGAGTGGGGAGCCTTGTGCCTGATTTCATTGGGACTCATTTGAGTTTCTCTCCATTGAATTTGATGTTGGCTATAGGCTTGCTGTATATTGTGTTTACTATGTTTAGGCATGTGCATTGTATCACTGATTTCTCCAAGACTTTAAGCATGAATGGGTGTTGGACTTTGTCAAATGCTTTTTCAGCATCTAAGAAGATGATCATGTGGTTTTTCTCCTTCAGTTTGTTTATGTGGTGGATTACATTGATAGATTTCTGTATGTTGTGTCACCCTTTCATGCCTGGGATGAAGCCTACTTGGTCATGGTGGATAATATCTTTGATGTGTTTTTGGATTAGGTTTGCAAGTATTTTATTGAGTATTTTTGCATCAATGTTCATAAGAGTGATAGGTCTGAAGTTCTCTTTTTTGTTGAGTCTTTGTGCGGTTTAGGTGTCAAGGTGACTGTGGCTTCATAGAATGAGTTTGTTAATGTTCCTTTTGTTTCTATTTTGTGGAATAGTTTGGAGAGAATTGGAGTTAGCACTTCCTTGAAGGTCTGGTAGAATTTTGCACTGAATCCATCTGCCTCAGTGCCTTTTTTGGAAGGCAGACTGTTGATGACTGTCTCTATTTCCTTGGGGGATATAGGACTATTCAGTCTTTCTACGTCTTCTTGACTTAATTTTGTAGATGGACTCTATCAAGAAAATTGTCCATTTCTTTTAGATTTTCGAATTTTGTACTATATAAGCTTTTGTAGTACAACCTAATGATTGTTTAGATATCCTTAGTTTCTGTACTTATGTCCCATTTTAATTTTTGATTTTGCTGATTTGGATAGTTTCTCTCTGCCTTTTAGTTAGTTTAGCTAAAGATTTGTCTATCTTGTTGAGTTTCTCAAAGAAACAGCTCTTGGTTTCATTGATTCTTTAAATAGTTTTATTTGCTTGTAATTGATTGATTTCTGCCCTGAGGTTGATTATTTCACCAGAGATTCTCTCTTCCATCTCTTGTATTCTGTTGGTGGATGCTTAACTTTGTGGTTCCTGATCATTTCTCTAAGTTCTCCAGCTCCAGGCTTTTCTCAGTTTGTGTTTTCTTTGTTGATTCTAATTCCATTTTCATGCCTTGCACCATTTCCTTCATCTGTTGGAATGTGGATTCCTGTCTCTCTATGGTGGTCTCTATTTTTTTGTTCATTTCCTCTCTATATGCCACTAATTGTATTTCTACTTGTGTCTCTATTTGTTTGGCTATATTTGCCTGTGTTACTTTAAACATTTTGTCCATTTCCTCTTTCTTTGCCTCCAATTGACTGGCCAAATCTTTAATAGATTTGTTTATTTCCTCTTTAAATCTGTGAATTTTCATGGCTAAAAAATGGAACGCTTCATGGATTTGCGTTTCATACTTGCGCAGGGGCCATGCTAATCATCCCTGTATCATTCCAATTTTAGTATATGTGCTGCTCAAATGAGCACTGGAATATATATATATATCTTTAATTTTATTTTTCTCATTAGTTACATTTCGTTAATTCTGTATCCCTCATTCCCTCCACATTCCCACCCTCCCTCCCTCATCTCCTCCCTGCCCCTTTCCAAGTCCATTGATAGAGGAGGACCTCCTCCCCTTTCATATGACTCTGTTTTGTCCGGTATTTTCAGGACTAGCTGCAAAGTCCTCCTCTGTGGCCTAACAGTACTGCTCCTCCCTTGGGAGGTGGGGAGGTCAAAGAGCCAGTCATTGAGTTCCTGTTAGAAATAGTCCTTGTTCCCCTTATTATGGGAAACCAATTAATTACTGAGCTATCACGGGTCACATCTGAGCAGACGTTCTAGGTTCTATCCTCTCATGGTCTTTGGTTGAGTGTTCATCTCAGAAAAGACCCTGTGCTCAGATATGTTTGGTCCTTGTGGAGCTCCTATACTTTCCACATCAAACTCCCCTTCTTTCATATGATACCTGCCTTCTGCCGAGGGTTTGGTTATGAGTCTTAGTATCTACTTTGGAACACTGCTAGATAGAGTCTTTCACATGCCTTCGGTGGTAGACTCCTGTCATACAATCAATGCATATCCCATTTGTCTTTCTAAATGAGGATTGATCATCATACCCCGTGTCTGCTTTCTTGATTATCTTCTTTAGGTGTATAGATTCCAATATGTTTATCATATCTTTTAGGTCTATATAAGCAAGTATATTCCATGTTTGTCTTTTTCCTTCTGGGATACTTCACTCAGAATGATGTTTTCTAGATCCCACCATTTGCCTGCAAATTTCATGATTTCCTCTTTTTTGATTGCTGAGTAGTATTCCATTGTTTAAAAATACCACAATTTCTGTACCCATTCCTCCTTTGATGGACATCTGGGTTGTTTCCAGGTTCTGGCTATTACAAATAAAGCTGCTACAAACATGGTTGAGCAAATGTCCTTATTGTGTACTTGAGCAAATTTTGGGTATATGCCTAACAGTGGTATAGCTGGGTCTTGAGGAATCACTATTCCTAGTTGTCTGAGAAAGTGCCAGATTGACTTCCAAAGTGGTTGTACCAGTTTACATTCCCACCAGCAATGGAGGAGGGTTCCCCTTTCTCCACAACCTCTCCAGCATGTGTTGTCACTTGAGTTTTTCATCTTGGCCATTCTGATGGGTGTAAGGTGAAATCTCAGGGTCGTTTTGATTTGCATTTCCCTGATGGCTAATGATGTTGAGCATTTCTTTAAGTGTTTCTCTGTCATTCTATATTCCTCTACAGAGAATTCTCTGTTTAGCTCTGCTCCCCATTTTTTAATTGGATTACTTGGTTGGTTGCTTTTCAGCTTCTTTATTTCTTTGTATATACTGGATATTAGCCCTGTGTCAGATACAGGGTTGGTGAAGAATCTTTCCCAACAGTCGTTTTGTTTTGATGACAGTGTCCTTTGCTTTACAGAAGCTTTTCAGTTTCATGATGTCCCATTTATTGATTGTTGCTCTTAGAGCCTGTGCTGTTGGAGTTCTGTTCAGGAAGTTGTCTCCTGTGCCAATGAGTTCTAGGCTGTTCTCCACTTTTTCTTCTAACAGATTTAGCGTATCTGGTTTTATGTTGAGGTTTTTGATCCACTTAGCCTTTAGTTTTGTGCAGGGTGATAAATGTGGATCTATTTTCATTTTTCTGCATGTAGACATCCAATTAGACCAGCACCATCTGTTGAAGATGCTATCTTTTTTCCATTGAATGTTTTTGGCTGCTTTGTCAAAAATCGAGTATTCATAGGTATATGGGTTTTTTTCTGGGTCTTCTATTCGGTTCCATTGATCCTCCTTTCTGTTTCTATGCAAATACCATGCAGTTTTTATTACTATTGCTCTGTAGTACAGCTTCAGATCAGGGATGGAGATACCTCCAGATGATCTGTTGTTGTACAGGGTTGTTTTGGAGATTCTGGGTGTTTTGTTTCTTCATATGAAGCTGAGAATCTTTTTTTCAAGGTCTGAAAAGAATTGAGTTGCTATTTTGATGGGAATTGTTTTGAATCTGTATATTGCTTTTGGCAGGATGGCCATTTTCATAATGTTAATCCTACCAATCCATGAGCATGGGAGATCTTTCCATCTTCTGAGATCTTCTTCAATTTCTTTCTTCAGAGACTTGAAGTTTTTCTCAAACAGGTCTTTCATTTGCTTGGTTAGAGTCACCCTAAAATACTTTATGTTATTAGTGGCTATTGTGAAGGGTGTTGTTTCCCTAATTTCTTTCTCAGCCCTTTTTTCTTTTGTGTACAGGAGGGCTTCTGATTTTTTGAGTTGATTTTGTACCCTGCCAGTTTGCTGAAGGTGTTTATCAGCTGAAGGTGTTCTCTGGTTGAATTTTTGGGGTCAATCATGTATACTATCATATCATCTGTGAATAGGGACACTTTGACCTCTTCCTTTCCAATTTGTATATCCCCTTGATCTCCTTTAGATGTCTTATTGCTCTGGCTAGGACTTCAAGTACTATGTGAAGACATATGGAAAGAGTGGGCAGCCTTGTCTTGTCCCTGATTTCAGTGGGATTGATTTAAGTTTCTCTCCATTGAGTTTGCTGTATATTGCCTTTACTATGTTTAAGTATGTGCCTTGTATCCCTGATCTCTCCATGACTTTAAACATAAATGGGTGTTGGACTTTGTCAAATGCTTTTTCGGCATCCAAGGAGATCATCATGTGTGTTTTCTCCTTCAGTTTGTTTATGTGGTGGATTACATTGATGGATTTCCGTATTTTGAACCACCCTTGCATGCCTGGGAGGAAGCCTACTTGGTCATGGTGAATGATATCTTGGATGTGTTCTTGGATTTTTTTTTGCAAGTATTTTATTGAGTATTTTTGCATCAATATTCATAAGAGAGATAGGTCTGAAGTTCTCCTTTTTGTTGGATCTTTCTGTGGTTTAGGTATCAATGTTACTGTGGCTTCATAGAATGAGTTGCGTAAAGTTCTTTCTGTTTATATTTTGTGGAATAGTTTGAGGAGAATTGGTATTAGCACTTCTTTGAAGGTCTGGTAGAATTCTGTACTGAAACCATCGGACCCAGGGCTTTTTTTGGAGGGGAGACTGTTAATGCCTGCTTCAATTTCCTTGGGGGATATAGAGTTATTCAGTCTTTCTACCTGATCTTGACCTAATGTTGAGAGATGGAATCTATCAAGAAAATTGTCCATTTCTTTTAGATTTTCAAATTTTGTGGTGTATAGGCTTTTGTAGTATGAACCAATGAGTGTTTGGATTTCTTCAGTGTCTGTAGTTATGTCCCCCTTTTCATTTCTGATTTTGCTGCTTTGGATAGATTCTCTCTGCTTTTTAGTTAGTTTATCTAAGGGTTTGTCTATTTTATTGATTTTCTCAAAGAACCAGCTTTTTGTTTCATTGATTCTTTGAATAGTTTTATTTGTTTCTAATTGATTGATTTCAGCCCTGAGTTTGATTATTTCCAGCCTTCTCCTCCTCTTTGGTGTATCTGCTTCTTTTTTTTCTAGTGTTTTCAGTTGGGCCATTAAGTTACTTGTATGTGATGTTACAAATTGCTTCTTGAAGGCACTTAGTGCTATAAATTTTCCTCTGAGCACTGCATTCAATGTGTCCCATAAATTTGGGTATGTTATGCCTTCATTTTCATTGAGTTCTAGGAAGTATTTAATTTCTTTCCTTATTTCTTCCTTAACCCAGCTGTCATTGAGTAACAAGTTTTTCAGTTTCCATGTGCAGGTAGATTTTTGGTTATTTCCATTGTTGTTGATGTCCAGCTTTAATCCATGGTGGTCCGATAGACTACAAGGGATTATCTCAATCTTTTTATATCTGTTGAGGCTTGCTTTGTGACTAACTATATGGTCTATTTTGGAGAAGGTTCCATGAGGTGCTGAAAAGAAGGTGTACTCTTTTGCGTTTGGGTGGAAAGATCTGTAGACATCTATTAGGTCCATTTGATTTAGGGACTCTGTAAGTTCTTTTATTTCCCTATTTGGTTTCTGTCTAGTTGATCTGTCCCTTGGTGAGAGTGTGGTTTTGAAGTCACCCACTATTAAGGTATTGCGATCAATGTGTGGTTAAAGCTTTAATAATGTTTCATTTATGAATGTAGATGCTCTTGTATTTGGGGCATAGATGTTTAGGATTGTGATGTCTTCTTGGTGAATTTTTTCTTTGATGAGAATGTTGTGCCCCTCTATGTCTTTTTTGATTAGTTTTGGTTGAAAATCTATTTTATTAGATACTAGAATAGCCACTCCTGCTTGTTTTTTGGGTCCATTTGCTTGAAAAACTGTATTCCAGCCTTTTACTCTGAGGTAATATTTATCTTTGTTGCGTAGGTGTGTTTCTTGGATGCAGCAGAATGTTGGTTCCTGTTTCCGCACCCATTCTGTTAGTCTGTGTCTTTTTATTGGAGATTTGAGTCCATTGATGTTGATAGATAATAATGACCATTGCATGTTATTTCCTATTATTGTGGAGTTGGCGATGTTACTGTGAATCATTGCTTGTTTGCTTTTGATTTTTGTTGGGAATTATCTTTAACCTGTGTTTTCTTGGGTGTATTTGTTTTCATTGGATTGGAATTTTTCTTCTAGTATCTTCTGTAGGGCTGGGTTGCTGTTTAAATATTGCTTAAATTAATTTTGTCGTGGAATATTTTATTTTCTCCATCTATGTTGATTGAAAGCTTTGCTGGGTAAAGCAGTTTAGGTTGGCATCTGTGGTCCCTTAGGGCCTGCATGATATCTCCCCAGGCCCTTCTGGCTTTCATAGTTTCTGATGAGAAGTCCGTTGTGATTCTGCTACGTTTGCCTTTATATGTTACTTGGCCTTTTTCCCTTGCTGCTTTTAGTATCTTTTCTTTGTTCTGTATATTAAGTGTTTTGAATATGATGTGGGGTGAGGAGTTTCTTCTCTGGTCTAGTCTATTTGGTGTTCTGTAGGCCTCTTGTATGTTTGGGGACATCTCTTTCTTTA